CACACACACACGCACATACATACACCCACACGCACGCGCACGCACGCACGCACATACACACACACACACACACACGCACGCACATGCACACGATACATTTTTAGAAACGTTGACAGACCAGTGTCACAGGAAGCCGGCAGCATTCCGTAGCACACTGTGAATGCTGGTGTTCGGTCGGTGCTGTACACGCACAGAGTCACCTTTGATCACACTTGAGGAGACATGTCCTGTGGTTTGGAAGAAGTGCATTTGGACCAGAGCCCAGAATAACCGTGCCCAACAAGTAATTGTTAAGTTCACCATGCCAAGTCCCATAAATGCTTTCCTGGGATGGTATTGTCAACTCTCCCCACCCAGGTAAATAAGACTTGGTGCCATGTGCCTCGGCTAGACCTGGTGCCCCAGAGGCCAGGAGTTACTCACCCCCTCCCAGTGGCTGCACATGGAGAACTGTACCTGCTCTGGGCCTTGGTGCCGCTTGAACTCTAGTGACCTCCTGTGCCACTCACCCTGGGCTTCTCTTCTTGCTGTGGAACAGATTGCTGCTCTAAGGTTGAGTTTTGGTAGCCTGGGATTGCAGAGTGGCTACAAGTGGTCATTCCCTGATAAACCATAGATGGAAAGGCTGTGAGACTCTCCAGGACTGTCCAGTAAGACAGTCTCCTGCCTAGGCGACAGGGCCCGTGCTCCTCAGTGGCTTGTTGGAGGGCATCCTGAAAACTTGGCTGTGTGGCTTGACCCCTTGGTGGTGTGTTTAAGAGAGAAATACTATTTGTGTTTTTATTATGTATATGTGTGTTTATGCCGCATGCAGTGGGATGTCTGAGGAGGCCAGGGGAAGAGGTCTGCTGGAGTTACAAGGTCGTTTTGAGCCTCCTGACCTGGGTGCCGGCAGTTCAGTAATGAAAAAAGGTTCTTGAGAAATGCAGCCTGCCTGGAACTGTGTCTGAGTCCTTTATACACGATGCTGATTTTATTCCTTTTAGGGATTTGGTTATGTGGGAGGTTTACTTGTGATCAGCAACCCCCCTCCCCCCCCACCCCGCCAAGTACCAAGTTGTCAGTACTGTATGCCCAGGGTCACCCTAAAACGTAAATGACAGAGCTGAGTTTCCATTTCAGGAGCTCTGAGATGAGCCCAAACCTTCTGGACTAGGGCTGGTCTGAGGTCATGAACTTGGCCCTTAGTATCTCAAGTGGCTGTTGCTTGACTTTAGCCCTGGGATGATGGTGCCAAGATGGCCTTGGAGCAGTGGTGGCACATGCATTTGTCAATTAGGATATGTTCCAAGTTGCAGCATCTCCTGGGGCCAGATAGTTCCACACAGTACTGGAGAGTGGCTGTCACTAGCCGGTTAGCGTGTTGCAGGGTGTCCAGGTGGACCTGGAGTCCTGAACCTGAGGTTGGGCTGCCTCACACACCCACATTCCACACCCTCTGTTAAAGCAGTGCTTTCCCCATTAGAACTTTTCCATTGTACGCCTTTAGAGCGCTGTCTTGTTGGTTTATGGTCTGATACTGGACGAGACTGCCCGATTCCTTTGATGGATGCACTGACCGAATGCAGTGGCTCACACTGATTTTGTTTTTTTTTCTTTTTTTTAATTTTTTAAATCATTTTTTAATTTGAATTAGAAACAAGATTGTTTTACATGTCAATCCCAGTTCCCTCTCCCTCCCCTCCTCCCCTAACAACCCCCAACTAACACCCTGCCTATCACATAGCCTTTCTTCTATTCTTCTTCCCCTGACTAAATCTTCCTGCTCCCTCATGTCCTCCTCACCCCTCCTCTTCTCCCCTTCTCATTCTCATAGCTCCCTCCCCCCTCTTCCCATGCTCTCATTTTGCCCAGGGGATCGTGACCCTTTCCCCTTCTCCAGGGGACCATGTATGTCTCTCTTAGGGTCCTCCCTGTTTCCTAGCTTCTCTGGCAGTGTGGATTGTAGGCTGGTAATCCTTACTCTATGTCTAAAATCCACATATGAGTGAGTACATATCATGATTGTCTTTTTGTGATTGGGTTACCTCACTCAGAATGGTTTCTTCTAGTTCCATCCATTTTCCTGCAAATTTCAAGGTTTCAATTTTTTTTTTCCACTGAGTAGTACTCCATTGTGTAAATGTACCACATTTTCTCTATCCATTCTTCAGTTGAGGGGCATCTAGGCTGCTTCCAGTTTCTGGCTATTACAAATAATGCTGCTATGAACATTGCTGAACAGATGTCCTTGTTGTATGAATGTGTTTCTTTTGGGTATATGTCTAGGAGTGGAATTGCTGGATCTTGTGGTAGACTCATTCCCATTTTCTTGAGGAGTCTCCATACTGATTTCCAAAGTGGCTGTACAAGTTGGCACTCCCACCAGCAGTGGAGGAGTGCTCCCCTTTCTCCACATCCTCTTCAGCATAAACTGCCATTCTCTGCTGTGACCGTCCAAGGCACTGAAATCTGGGGAGCTATGAGTCACTTGGGTTCCGCTAGGAAAACTTTTGGGATTTCTTTTTTTTTTTTTGTTTTACTCCTGTCACTCAAAAGAAGCATGCAATCCAGTGAAAATACTTTGGTTTTCACAGACTGGCCCATTGATGCTGATGATTTGGAGGAGTCAGAAATAATTTCTTACTGGGAAGTTAGTAAGGATCAACAGACACTTCAAGAATTCATGTCCCCATGGGTGTGGTGGCACATGCCTATTTCTCAAATAGGTGGGAGGTTAAGCAAGACGAGGGAAGGTTCAGGTTGGCTGGGCTAGTGAAACCTTGTCGCAAACACAGGAAGAAATTGCCTTCAGATGATGTTTTATGATTTTTGTGTGTGTTCCTTCACTCTTGGCTGTGATTCTGTACTTGGCAAAAGCAACTTAAGGAAGTGCTTGCTGGGGCTCACGGTTTGAAGAGCACATAGCCCGTCAGGGCAGGAGAGCTTGTTGGCTGCCACAGGAAGCGATGGTCATATTGCATCCATAGCCAGGAAGCAGAGTGCTGAATGCCAGTGTTCTGTCTTCTCCTTACTCAGCCCAGGTCCGTAGTCCATAGAGTGTTGTTACCCACATTCAGGGTGGGTCTCCCCTCAGAGGCATGCCCTGAAGTGTATCTCCTGGGTAATTCTGTGTCCAGGAGGATTGGCAGTCACTGTGAACCATCAGGTTTCCATCCTCGTGGCTCGTTCCTGAGCCAGATGAGGTGAGGGTTTAGTAGTTGATTTTATGAGTTGTTTTTTGTTTTGTTTTGTTTTGTTTTGTGATCTCTGTGTTGTTCATTGCTCTGTGAGCTTTATACAGTAGACGGATGAACTCAGTGTGGCACTTTATACAAAACAGGTGTATTTTTTGGTGACTCAAAAGCACGAGAAACTCCTCTGGGACCTGTGTCCACCTGTGTTGACACCTAAGCTGTGTGACCCACCCACATGAGCAGGGCCTTCCTCGAGGGTTGATAGGGGCACCACCACAGAGAGGCAGCATGATGCTAGTTGCAGGAGAAGCCTTGCATTGTGATTTCTCAGTATTGCCACACCTCGTCTTGTGAGAACTGAGGACTGACTGTAATGTTTGGAGAATCAAGTATGATAGCCACTGAAGACACACTCTTACAGACCAGTAAAGGCCAGCTCAGAGCAGACAGTGAGTTTCCAGCGTGTCTGCCCCCCGGGTGCACCTCCACGGAAACACCATGGGGACAGAAATGTGTTTCCACACACCCGAAGCCCTCACAGTAAAGAGCGTGGTGGGAGAGTCTTTGCAGGCCGCCTCCTCAGTCCTTCCAGGCCTGGGGTTTGAACGGTGAGATTTCTTGTCTGTGGGAGCCTCAGTGGATTCTCCTATTTGTAGTGCCTGTCACAGGCAAGGCCTGGCAGGGGTTGGCTAAGTCTTGTTCTCTTGATCTTTGGCAAGAAGGGCCACTGTAGGCTGGCAGCCTCATGTGGTGACTTGGCCTTTGGCCAGGACTGTTTTCTTTCAGAGTTTTACTTTCATTTTATTTGTGTGAGTGTTTTGCCTGTGCACGTACGTCTCTCTTTCTCTCTCTCTCTCTCTCTCTCTCTCTCTCTCTCTCTCTGTGTGTGTGTGTGTGTGTGTACTGTATGCATGTAGTACCCACAGAGGCCAGAAGAGGGCATTGGATCCTTTGGAGACGGGGTTGGGTACTGTTGACTTGATTGTCTGTGGTACAGGTGGAGGCTGTAGGCGTTATTGGAGACTGCCATAGAGGTAGCCCAAGGTCAGGGGTCAACAGTCAGTTCTATGGTGACATCTTCTGTGCCTTTACTCAGGGCTGATCCCTGGGGGGTGCCCTGGCCCTTTGGGTTTCACAGTTCTTTGTTCTAAGTGCCTCTCACAGTCAGTCAGCTCATCCTAGGAGGCCAAGGAATGGACACCATGGGGAGGGTGGCTCAGGCAGGGACAGGTGGGGCAAGTCTTGAATAAAACCCGGAGTGTTGGGTTGTG